GTGAGCAGCGGAGCCTGGAATATGGTCGGGGAAATGGAAACGAAGGAGAAGCCGAAGCCCACTCCGGATTACCTGATGCAGTTGATGAACGACAAGAAGCTCATGAGCAGCCTGCCCAACTTCTGCGGGATCTTCAACCACCTCGAGCGGCTGCTGGACGAAGGTGAGTGGACCCGGGCCGGCCCGCTGGGGATGGCGGGGCGGCGGGAAGGTCACGGCCGGCGGGACGCGCGCCCGGGGACGACGAGGAGAGGCCGGCCGGGCGCTCGGCGGCGGGCGGGGTCGGCTCGCGGACCGGCCACCCGGGACCGCAGCCCGACGCGGGGCGGGGCCGGCGCCACTGGGGTCCCCGAGCGGCCCCGTTCGGGCCTGGGGCGCGTGTCCTCGGCCAGAGCCTGACGACGCTCGAGGCGGGGCGGCTGCTCCCGCCGAGGCAGAAGGCGGCTTGGAGCTCGTCCGTCTGAGGAACTGCGCAGGAGGCGAGCCCTGAGTGACAGCAGAAAGCACTTTTAGATCTTTTGTTTGGGGATGCGAGAAGTGTTAGGGAGTTTAACTTCACTTTTGGGGAGTGGGAGGGTGTTGCGCGAAATACCGCGATGACAGACCCGAGCGCGATTCCTATTTGTAGAGATCTTGGGCGGAGGGTTCGCCCCGGGCACTGCCGCCCGGGTTCGCGGGTTGGAGATCGAGGAGTTCCACAGGGCGAAAATAAAATCCAGCAAAAGTTTGCAAGAGCTTAGCTCTTAGCTGGTGGAGCGCTGTGGGGAGCGAAGAATGACAAGAAGATTAATGTTGGTCAACTCTGGAATTTCTTTTAAGAAGTTTTTGCAACAGCGACCTGGAGTACTAATTTTTGGTGCTGTAGGTTTCTGTGGATGCCCAGGGGGCAAGATGAGACCGGAGAAAGTCTGCTTTGGACATCGAGTAGAAGGGAGCTTTTCTTTTTGCAAGCATCTCCGGAGGACTGTTGAAGCTGAAAACTGTTGTAAAGATGAACAAGAGAGTTTAGATTTTTTTTTTTTTTTAGAAAAGAATTCTGAGATTTTTTAGATAGAGCTGAAGTTTAGGGAGTTGGAATATTAGGAAAGAACAAAAGACCGGAAATATCCCCGTGATAAAAGATACTTAAAGAATCCTAAGAGCTTTTGTTGACTTAAAAGTCAAAGACTCAGTTTTAAAGTAGGAAACAGGTATTATTGCTTCTACATTGTTTAGGTTACGTATCTTCAACATAGGGCAGTAACCCAAATTAAAGTAGGCATTTTATATTGTTGGGATTAGCATATCCGTTAATATCAGATTGCTGACGAGAAAAACTTGAGCTGTCTCTTTAAGGGGTTCTGCTTTTCCTATTTGTGTTGGCATTTGGAAGATTGTGGAGGCAGAAAACTTTCTGGAATGTCAAAAAAAAAAAAAAAAAACCCAACAAAACTGGAACTCTTAAATTGAATATTTCCATATGTGACCGCTAGGGGGCACCGGTTATTTTTAACCTTGGAAATTGAAACAAAACGTAACGTTTTCAATAATCTGACCTATTTTATTTAAAACTTAAATTATACATCTTTATCTGTCACGGTATGTCTAAGTGTTGTAAATACCTTATAAACTCTTGTTTTTCCAATATCTTGGTTGTTAAAGTTTTAGTAGTAAGATTTTTTTATTGAGCTTTTTTCAAAGTACAGTTCAGAAGGAATCTTTTATGTCTTTTAAAATGAAACTAGGCTATGGCAGTATATAAAATTAACCAAAATTAAATTGTATCTTCAAAATGTTCAATGGCGTAGATTGCATAAAAATTAAAAAAAATTTTTTTGTTTCTTTGATTAGTTTTTAAAAGGCTTTCTATGCTTTTATAAAAATTAACCTGAAATCTTATTTTGGAATTTATCCCGTTAAGCCTTTGGTTTTGGTACTTTTTAATTGTTCGAATGTAGAAATTTCAGTTACATGTTTTCTTATTTCTAGCAAAGGTTCTTTGTGTGTGTGTTTGGAAAAAGATTCTTTGAGTTTAGGATGTAGAGGACCGCTAGTTTATTAGGTTGTATTCTAAATAGTTTCCCCTCCTTAAGTAGTTACTTTCAGCCTTTTCAACCCCCCGGTGTAGAGTTGCTTTGGTTTGGTAGTGAGTTTGTTTAAAATGGAATGACTGGAAGTTTGATTGTTTTTTATCAGACCGGTACAAACATACAGGAAAAGGAGCTGTTTCTTCGTGTGGAATAAGCTGCTTCCTGTAATTGTTAGCTTTTTAATAAAGTAATGTGACTTAAGAAAAGTACTGTTTTTTTCTTTTGTTTTGTTTTTAGAAGTACAACGGTCTTTTTGCTGGATGATTTAATTGCAAAATTTGTGCTTTACGAAACCTTTTTGGCCTGTCATTGTCCACAACAAATTAATCTTGGCTTCTGTTTGTGGCTAGGAATTACATTTTCCTTTGTCTATTATACTTAGAAAAATTTACTTATAATTCAGATAAAACTGAGTTTTATTTTAATGATTAGGTTAATGAAAGTATTTAGAGTAGACAAGTTTTATGATGGTACTTTTGAGTGAGACTAGAAATTTTGTTTTATGGTACTTTACAAATAATACACTTCTAAAGAATTTTTTTTGTCAATTTGAGAATTTTTGAGTAGCTATAGATCTGGGGATTAAGCTTGCTGGGTTTCCCTACTTGCTTGCAATTTGAATGCTTTAGAAAATACATTGTAATTTCATGACAAGTTAAAATTAACGTTAGTTTATACTTTCTGTAGCCAGTCTTTCTGTTTCATTGTTAGACTTTTGTCGGAAGGAGTGTCTTTTCTCCCAAGTATTTTCAATATGCTTCTTTTTGAAGTCCAGAATATATTTTTGGTCCAGCCAGTTATTAAAGAAAGTAACTTCAGTAAAAATGTTACCTTTCATTGGAATTGGAGATGATTACAGGATTACAAATAAAACCTACATTTTAAACTACTCTCTTCTCTTCAGCAAGTTTTTAACTGAACCCTGGAACCATCCCACGGAAAGATACTGAGTTATTACTAGCACAGTGTTTGTTTTAAAGGCCTTTCTTTGTCATGAAAATAAAACCAACAGTAGTTGAGTGAGTACAGATTGTGTTTTTACAAAATTTTGCAGTTGGAGATGAATAAAATCAGTTTGACACAAAAGTCTTGAATAGGGGAAAATGGTGAATGAGATATATTTTAAAATTAGATTTTCAATCTTTCGTTCAGTGGCGGGGAGGTTAGAGATAGTATGAAAATGGAAAATGTGAGGAAGGACTATGTATGTGTTGTTTTAGTTGTGAATTTCAGAAAAATTAGTGTGTGGTTTAAATCATACTAAATGGTTCGAAGAAAAACATTTTCATGTTCTAATTATCGTTTTTGATTATAAATTTTGTCTCCATTAAATATGTGAGCAAGTATTGAGAACTTGCTTTATTATTTTTATTTATTTATTTTTTTTTAAAAAGACACATTTATTCAGCGTCATGATCA